TTGGCCACGGACGCTTTTCCACAAAAAGTGCTTTTGCGGAAAAGCGTCTGTGCCAATCTAGACGCTCTGTTCTGAAAATGCTTTTAACAGAAAACTTTTCCGTTAAAAGCATTTCCGGAAAATCATGCCAGTCTAGACATAGCCTCTCAGTCTTTGCAAAGCTCACTCACCATCCTTGCACAAGACTGCACTGGGTCATTCCCCAGCTAAGTGATTTGTGGAGTTGGTGTTGAGTAATTTGGTGGCATTCCCTTTCAGCCCATGTGAGAGACACACAGTTTTAATGTAGTCAGATAGTAATGTATAGGGTTGTCACTACTTAAAATGTAAAAAAACTGACCATTGGCGCCTCTGTCCTTCTCCCCGCCCATCCGCTAGCAAAAAGAGTTCTACTCCAGAACATAGTGTTGGGATTTTGCGGTTCCCAGAGAGTCAGGTGCTGGGCAGAATCAAGGGTATTCAATTCAATTCAATTCAATTCAATACTTTATTCAATGTGCACAAAGGGAGAGCCCCTGGTACTAAAATCAGCCAGAGCCCCTCGAGCAAGGAGCCCCTCCCCTTGCTGTTTTATAGCACATGGTTACAGGTTACATAACACAAACTTCTAAACCAATCAGATTCAACCTTTCCATATATGGCTTTGTTTGTCACATGCCCGCACCTCTGCACTCCACATGCCGAGCTCACCCCCCTCCTCTTGCTTAGGTGGTGAGCCACAGCATGCCTCTCCTTGCATACCCAATTTCCAAACCACATTTTATTTAAAATGAAGACATGCATACCCTTCAATAGCTAATTAGCACTAATATGTTTTAGAAAAAAATTGTAGACATAAGAACGGCCATACTGGGTCAGACCAAAGGTACATCCAGCCCACTATCCTGTCTGCTGACAGTGGCCAATGCCAGGTGTTCCAGAGGGAGTGAATCGAACAGGTAGTGATCAAGCGATCTCTCTCCTGCCATCCATCTCCATCCTCTGACAAACAGAGGCTTGGGACACCATTACTTACCCATACTGGCTAATAGCCATTTATGGACTTAACCTCCATGAATGTATCTATTTCTCTTTTAAACCCTGTTATAGTCCTAGCCTCCACAACCTCCTCAGGCAAGGAGTTCCACAGATTGACAACGTGCTGTGTGAAGAAGAACTTCCTTTTATTTGTTTTCAACCTGCTGCCCATTAGTTTCATTTGGTGGCCCCTAGTTCTTATATTATGGGAACAAGTAAATAACTTTTCCTCATTCACTTTCTCCACACTGCTCATGATTTTATATACCTCTATCATATCCCCCCTTAGTCTCCACTTTTCCAAGCTGAAAAGCCCCAGTCTCTTTAATCTCTCCTCCTATGGGAGCCATTCCAAACCCCTAATCATTTTAGTTGCCCTTCTCTGACATGTATATAGGTTTTATCATTTTCCTGGCCTTGTGCTAATATGGTGCCACAGACAATTGGTTTGTGAATTGTAGAGCACTCTTAACATTTTATCAACTAAATGATTAAAGGATTACCTACTTCTTAACATCCTTAGTCCAATATGTAAAACATAGTGTAGATTGCAAATATTTTGTTACCCGTCAGATTAGGCTGATCATGCTGTTTACTCTGCTCTCCCAGCATCTTGTGTCGCAGTGAACAAGAGGCAAGGTCTCCTATGTAACTGAAAAAAATATTTGCAATAGGTCAGTAACTACCTTCATATTTTCAATTAAATTGTTTTCAAATCTCTGCAGCTCTTGAAATATTGTAGTTATGAACAGTTTGAGATAAATTTGTTTCTACAATTTTATTTTAGATATACTTTCAGTGACAAAAGTGACATGCAAATTGGAAAGAAAACAAAAGAAGATGGGAAAGAATTAGTGACAGATACAAGAGAATCTTTTGAAGGTACTGAAACCATAGCAGAAACACTCCCATGCAAAGAAGATGCAGTTGTTGCATCAGAAGAGGCTTCTAGATGTCTGAAAACCACTCCAGATGGATGGGAGAAGATCACAAAGCAAAGACAGTCCGGCAAAACTGCAGGAAAATATGATGTTTATTTCATCAGGTAATATGTGATGCAATTCTTGAAATTAAATCTGTATAGTAACTAAAACCAGTGTATGTCACAATCTTAATCTGCTGGTTGCTTAGTAGAGAATAAGTGTTGCAGAGTCTAGGAATCAAATGTCTGGTTCTGTTCCAGTCCTCACACAGAGTTAGTTTGGGACTGATCCATTAAAACTTCAGGAGGTAACTGGGTTAGTCTGTTCAGGATAAACTTAAAAAATAACAAATAGTCTGTAGCACTTTAAAGACTAACAAAACACGTAGATGGTATGATGAGCTTTCATGGGCCAAAGAAGTGGGCTGTGTCCACGAAAGCTCATGATACCATCTACATGTTTTGTTAGTTTTTTAAAGTGCTACCACACTATCCACCGAACAATAGACTCTTGCTGATTTCAAATCCTTTGAATTTGATTCTTGACTGTGGGCAAAACATTTAATGTCTTGGTGCTTCACACAAATAATATGGAAATCTGTTTTAAAAAAAAATGTGCATTGTGAGGATAACATGAGGCAGTAAAATGCTTTAATATCTTTAAATGAGAGTGTAAAGTATTACATGTATATTAGTTGTCTTTGTATGAATATTTTTGATAAAGTTAATAGAAAACTTGTCTAAAATAGGGATGTAAACAACTAGTTGATTACCTGATAAGCCTAAGCTTATTGGGCAGTCAAGTCACTACTCACTTCCCTCCCATTTCCCCCCTGCTGCCTCTGTATCAGAGGCACCAAGGACGGGGGAAACTGGTGCTGGGGGGAGCCAGCTTAAAAGCCATTCTCCCCAGGACCATCTCCAGAGGGGGATAGGGGAGGCAGTGGTGCAGGGGGAGACTGCTGCGCCTCTCTCTTTTGGTATGTACAAGAGGGATAGAGAGTGCACAGTTGAGTAGTCAATGGAAATCCCATCAGCTACTAATCTAATCTATTTGATTAATCTAAATTTAACATCCCTGGTCTAAAATATTTTACCAGCCTTTTAATTATTGAGCTAGATTGTTTTTTTTAAAAATGCAGCTAAATTTGAGGTGCAGTTTTGTTTCCATTCCTTGCTATTAAAACAATAACCACCAATTTGTTTACTTTTATTTCATTTCATAGTCCTCAAGGAGTGAAGTTAAGATCCAAATGTGCACTTGTGGCTTACTTTACAAAAAATGGAGAGACTATTCTTAAACCTGAAGATTTTGACTTTACTGCTCCTCCTCAGAGCCAAACTCGATCAAGAACCAAAGGATCCAGTGAAGAACCTGTGAGACCGAGATTACAGAATAAACGATGTAATAGTAAAGCACAAGATCTTAGTGTGCAAAGAAGCAAAGAAGTTAAAGTTCTGGAGTTACAGACCAGTAATGAACAGTTGGAAAACATTTCCATCCATCTACAGGGCAGGGAGGACTTAGTCATTAAAGACATTAAGCCAAAGGAATATTGTAGAAAGGCCAAAGAAAAGGGAGCAGTTGGAAAAAGGGATCAAATTAAGAAAGCTAGAAAGAGGTCAGAAAGGAGGAATCCAGATCACAGCCAAAATAAAAGGCTGAGAAAAGCATCATGTAATAAACAAGAGGCTGAGAGCAGCCAAATAAAAAAATTCCAGCAAAAGAAAGATGTTTGTGTTTCTGAGAGTGGCATAATAGACAATCAGAACTTAAACCCCACAGATACTGGAAAAGCAAACACACCCTCAAAGGATGAAATAATGACTTTGGGATCACATTTAGAGATGCGTCTTGAACCAGTAACTCCTCTCTCTGAAAAGAAGTCAAGAACCATGGGAGAGTTAGGATATGCAGAGAAGAATTCTGATGATGCAGCTATAAAATCTGACAAGAACATTGCAGAAAAAGAAGGATCATGTGTGTTTGGGAAAGAGAAAGATTGGATACATTTGGGTAACCAGGATTTCAAACCTGGCACTGAAACGAACATTAGCATTTCACAGCCTTCTGCCAAGAAAAGCTTTACATCAGTGAAAACGCTTCAAGGTATATACATTTCAGAGCAGAGTACTGTTCTAAAATTCCATCAGGGATACTTCAAAACTAATTACAAAAAAGAAGTGTTTGTTTCAGGCCTGCCTACTCCATGACTGAATATGGTTTAGAACTTTCTAAATCAACTTGTCAGGAGTCTAATCTGTTTATCATACTTACCATACAGAGCATCAGATTAGGGATGTAAGAGGTTAACTGATTACCCATTAAGCAGGCAGTTTATCAGATGGTTTACAAGGTAACTGGCCCAGCCAACTGGACCCTGCTCCGGCCGGGGAGGACCAGCCAGTGGGACCCTGCCCACAGCCATGGCAGGCCTGGCCAGTGAACCCTTCCCATGGCGGACCTGAGCCGCTCCGCAGCCATGCCGGCCCAGCTGATTGGAACCCACTGTACAAGCATGTGATATGCCAGAGCAGCCCTACGACTGTGGAGGGCCCAGCTGGCTGGACCCTACCCACACTATGGCAGGCTGAAGCAGCCTCCAGCCCTGGCAATTAACAGATGAAACAAAACATGTAACTGGCTAACTAATTTAGAGCATTTTTAAATGCCTGCATCAGATATTAAAGTAGCTAAGTGTTATAAACCAACCATCTGAAGCCAACAAAATGGATTTATTCACATTTAGAAATCACACCATTACTTTCTCTGATTTATTATAGTAATGATCACTGCTCTCCACATATCAGTTAACTTTAAATTACTGCCAAAGTGGCCAGATTTTCAATCAAGAAAAACTTGGTTCAGAGGTTAGTATAATAATTCATTGATTCTGCCCTCAATTACATACATGCAGCATTTATTGACTGAGATATGATTACTTTTGTTAAGGATTTGTCATTTGAAGATTTATTTTTAACAGCTGCTGAAATATTGATAGATATCAGAGTGAAACTAATTCTCATTTACAAATGGCAGGGCCAATAAAAGTTCTTGTTCCCATCATAAAAAGAAAATTGATTCATGACAAGGAAAAAAAATTTGTTTTCCATTTCACATTATTTTAATTTTAAGAAAGATAATCCCAGATATTTTTCTTTTCAGAAGACTGTCCCCCAAGAACACAAGTAGAGAGAAGGAAAACTAGTCCATATTTTTCTAGTAAATACAGTAAAGAAGGTATAGTATTCTCTGTGGGAAAGAAAACTGTGTTCTAGGGGGATTGGAAGGTTTAAGGAATTAGCTTTTTGCCTTAATCTCAGTAGCTCAAATCCAGTACTAATTTGAGAGTTACTATCACCTGCTGGCTGCATTGTGGTGTACATGAGAGAATTTTTGTCTCCCTAGCAGACAGGTTTCTATTGTACAACCGCCATCACGTTTTGCATTCTTGGTTACTTAACTCAGCAGAGAAGCTGCAGATTGAATGGGCTCTAAGAATGAGCTATGTTTTACTCTGTAAGGCTGTTCTTTGTCAGAAGTGGAGCCCACACATTTCCTTCATGCTGAGTACTTAACAGATACAAAGGGGATTTCAGGCAGTTGTAAGGCCCCTTCTCCCCAGAGAACAGCCCCAGGACAGGGACATTCTACATCCAGATACCAAGCTAGTTCTGTACCACCTCCAGAGTGACCTTAGGTGCATTGTAGGGATGGGATGAGGATGATTATGGCTTGGACAGTCCTTTGCCCTGCCAATTTTGAAACAAAGAAATACAAGCGCAGATTAGGGCAGCCCTCGGGGCTACTCTAGCCTGTGTTAGGGCCCCAGGAATAATCAGCTCTACCCTCCTGTGTGCTAGTGGGAACATGGGGATGAATCTGCTCCACTTTCTCTTAAAAAAAATGGAGGGCCCCCCCACTAAAGAAAAGATGTTGATGCACTGGAGAGGGTCTAGCGGTGGGCAACCAAAATGATTAGGGGGCTGAAGCACATGACCTACAAGAAGAGGCTTATTTACTCTGCAGAAGAGAAGAGTGGGGAGGTATTTGATTGCAGCCTTTAACTTCCTGAAGGGAGGTTCCAAGAGGATGGAGAGAGGCTGTTCTCAGTAGTGACGGATGGCAGAACAAGGAGCAGTGGTCTGACGTTGCAGTGGGGGAGGTGTAGGTTGGATAGTAGGGGAAACTATTTCACTAGGAGGGTGGTGAGGCACTGGATGGGTTACCTAGGGCGGTGGTGGAATCTCCATCTCTAGAGGTTTTTTTTGACAAAGCCCTGGCTGGGATGATTTAGTTCGGATTGGTCCTGCTTTGGGCAGGGGGGGCTGGACTAGATGACCTGCGGTGCATTCCAGCCCTAGGATTCTAGGAGTCTGAAATCTTTTACTGCTTAGTAAAATTTCTCATAATCATGTATGTGTACAGCTCCAAGCCCACCAAGAAGGAAGGCCTTCAGGAAATGGACTCCTCCTCGGTCTCCATTTAATTTGGTCCAAGAAATACTCTTTCATGATCCATGGAAGCTCCTCATTGCAACCATATTTCTCAATAAGACCTCAGGTACATATGTATATGAAATGTGAAGCTTAATTTCTACATACCAGTGTCATGGTCTTTGAACTGCATTAGCTTATGTAAATGCTGAATTTGGGTCTTATGTGGCTAATAGCAGGGCTCAACAAACCACTGAATCTACTCGCTCTGTGCGCCCCATTCACCGGCACTTTGCGCATGAGCAGTGCAGGGCTGGCAAGCCCTGGCTATTAGAGACTGTTTACTGTTGAAAGATCAGAACCTCAGCTACGAAGTTTTTAATTACAGTATTGAGCGGATTAAGTAAACTATTAAAATAATCTAAGCTATAGTAATATAAATTACTTTTAAAATTTTCATCTCTCTCATCAACAACATTCAGATAGTCACAGAAGGAAAGTTACTGTACAGCTTTTATGTTCACAGCATTTTATCTTTGCCTAGGTAAGATGGCAATACCTGTGCTCTGGGAGTTTCTGGAGAAATATCCTTCCCCTGAAGTAGCAAGAACTGCAGACTGGAAAGAAATGTCAGAGTTGCTTAAACCTCTTGGCCTTTATGAACTCAGAGCAAAGACCATTATCAAATTTTCAGGTAGTTTCTTTTGAACGTGTCTGTAGAACTGTCTAAACTGATGTCAGTAAAAAAGTGGCTTTATGAACCCCAGCTTTGTAGTTGTCTTTGTGTTCCAAAAATAGAGCAGGTCCTTGTTTTTAATTCAGATAGTCATCAAACTCTCGTTAGTATGAACAAGGTTGATGTGTTTTGCAATAACATACTACAGTATTTTCATGTTAAAATAAAAACATTACTGTGTATATTTTGCTTTATAGTCATTTAAGGTTGTCTTTCCTAGTGAGATTTGTTTAGAAATAATTCCTTTTTCACCTTTTATTAATGTAATATATTTTGTTGCAGTTGAGGCGTTCAAAAGGATTTGGATTTTTAAATGTAAAAAAAATAGGATTTTTCCAATTCTCCAATGAATACCGATGTTTTCTTTTAATATTTTTTGTGACACGTTTCTCTACATGTTAACCTGATGAAGTATGGGGTTTTATTCTGTAGATGAGTATCTGACCAAGCAGTGGAGGTATCCTATTGAGCTGTATGGGATTGGAAAGTATGGCAATGATTCATACAGAATCTTCTGTGTGAATGAATGGAAGGAGGTAAGTGATGCTATCATTCTCTGAGGACCTGATACTGCTCATAGAAGTTAGTGGGTTCCATTGACTTCATTAGACTTTGGATTGAATCCTAGAGCATCATGTGGATTAAAACTAAAATAGAATTGAAATCATCTGCCTACTTTAAGATGTATTCGTAGACTGTACTCTTTATTATTGACCATGCAAGTCCATATTCATGTGAATAGCCCCGAGAGCTAGTCCTACAATTGTGCCTGGGAGTGCAAGGAGGCACATAAAGGCTAGTAACAGCTGTTGTAGTTAGGGCAACTGCGCCTGTATTTTCCCTTTGCTGTCTAGCGGGAGCACATACTGCTCTAGACTTCCAGCTTCCTAGGCATTGCCTATCTTGGATGGAGACTTGTATCTCTCTCTCCTCACCAGAGTATTTCCAAATTGCATAGTTTTGTGCCTTTTACTGTGTTATTGCCAGCAGACACAGGCTGCCCAAGCATATCTGCTTGCTGCTGCTACTTCAGAGACCAATAAAAGAGTGTTTTTCTAAGTTACCACACAGTTCTATTCAGTATAAAAAACTACACGCATGCTAATAGCCTTACTGCAGACCATTCCGACATTAACATGGGCTCTGGTTGGAAGATACCTTCCAAACCCCATGAAAAGGATTTTTTTGTGGTCAGGTTCATCACGGGTCAGCTCAAAGAGCCCATGGTCATATAGGGCCTCAGTAGGCCAAGTCCTGCCAGTCCTTCTCTGAGGATTGGGTCCCTTCATGGACTAAAGGTCCTATCCTTTTGCTGGATCAGGAAGAAAACCATGAGTCAGTTTATAAACAAGATATTTATCCAGAAACATTTTGTCTGTTTGCTCTATGGAGAATCAAGCTTGAATCTATACATGCATACTTCCCCCAGGAAAGGTAGGGCCAGATTTGCATTTTACATACCCCTAGTCACAGCATCTTCAGTGCCCCCTATCTACAGCTGACCTCATGTTGCACACAGTTTAGAGAGGTAAAGCACATCTCAAATGCCAACACCTGTAGACATGTGTCTATCATGCCTAATTAGAAATCTAGCCCTGGGGAGACTGGCTTCAAAGGTCTAAAAGTGAGGGAAATACATTGGCATCCTCCTACTAGGAAAAAGTATGTACTTTTTAATGTACTCCAAAAAAAATCTTACTCGGTAAAGTTTAGCTCAATTCCATAAGATTTGTCCAGGATATCAGAGGATGTTGTCAGTCTGACATAGTCTTTACCCCCTTTCCTTTCCTTTTGTGTTTCTTGGATTGGTAATGAGATTTCTCTCCCCCATATCCTAGTAACAGCAGTCATCTTTATGATGTCAAGGTACCCCCTGTTTTATTTGTCTGCAAGGGCATAGCATCTGCTCTGACTTGCTTTCCCTCCCTCTTCTGTAACCCAAATCTGCACCAAGTTCTTCTCATTTACAGACTGTTGAAAATAATAGCTGTACTCCACTTAGCAAAGTTGAGTTACTTGCCTTCTCAGTTGATGCAAGTGATGTTTCATGTGTGATCAATACTTATTCCCTCATTTCAAGAATATGCATGCTTAAGTATTATCTACCCCTTAATGCACCTAAACTGCAAAGTAGGTTCCAAGCAGGGGCTGGAGATATTTCAGACAAATTTCAGTATTGCCAGATATTTTTATAAAAGACATTTTATTGAAAATATCAGTTCTGATGCTTTCCTTCTCTTTCAGGTACATCCACAAGATCACAAACTCAATACATACCAAGCATGGCTCTGGGAAAACCATGAAAAAATGAGTCTTGGTTGACAAAGGCAGATATGTTTTTATAAAAGCTTCACTTTTTGGTACTTAACACCTTGCTCTTGGCTGTATGTACACATGAAATGGAAACATCTTATATTCACTTCACACATTTGTAATTCTGATCACTGAATGCTTAATTCCAATATTTGTGTTAAACGTGTTTTCAAACCCATATAATCATTGTAATTAAAAGCTGATAAATATTGATATTTTTAAATAAATTTTAATAAGTTATTTTAATAGTTGGTCATTCCTCAGTGATGCAGACTCTAACTTGATATCATATGTTCACCTGAGTAATACTATGTTACTGTATCATAAAAATCCAAGTGCTATCAATTTATTTTTTATTTGCCATGTAAGTATTGCTTCCAACTAGTGATGCAACAGAAATATTCAACTCCCTTTGTTTGGCTACTTGTAAGTAATCAAGTCATATAATCCCAGAAGAGAAGAGGACAGGTTCTTAGTTCTCTCAAACGCCGACTGCTAACATTATAGGCTAAAAGCCTGATTCTGCAGAAGTGACAAATTTAGGGTCTAATTCATGTGTGGGCAATAATTTTCACAGGGAGGGGATATCACTTAATGAATTTTGGTACATGGTCACGGGCCGGCTCCACGCCCCAGAAAGGGTGAAATCTGGGGTAGAAGGAACGGGGTTGGGAACTGGCATCCACCCAGAGTTGTCTGGGACTGGAGGCTTTGAATTAAAAAACACAATAAAGAGCTTGCCGCTTCTGCTACTGTGTTGCCTGAGTTGCTGCGGCTATTTAAAGGGATCACGGCTCCAGTCCCTACGAGGGTAGCACTGCAACCAGCAGTCGTGATTTATTTAAATAGAATCCTGCTGCCTGAGCCACTGCCTAGAAATTCAGTGGCCAAGCAGCAGGATATAAATAGAAAGTGGCCAGATGCAGTCTGTGGGCTGGATCAAAGTGATAGGCAGACCAGATCTGGCCCCTGGGCTGCATCTTGCCCTGCCTTAGTCTAATCCAATGTTTACTGGGAGTTTAGACTTCATTGAATTTTGGGTCAGCCCCCTTCAGCTTTATTACTTAATCACCTCAGTGTTGGTAACAGCTGTTCACATTATCACACACCATGTTTGATGTTATGTGTTTGCAAGACTTTTTAAGCTCTTCATGCAGCTGACTTGTCACTATCACCAGTTTGTATTGATGCTGTGCAGGATTTTCATGCCTTGTGCGTTCTTAAAGTCTTGCTAACTAGTCTTCCACCGATAGTTTTTTGTGCTGCTCACTAGTAATTTACTCTAGACTAGTTTTTAGCATTTCTTGTTATCATCCAGGCAGTACCTTTATTTTAGCATACTATGAACTGGATCGTGCAGAAACCTGAGCGCTAACTCCCGCTAAAATTAAACCCCTAGGCTACGTCTACACTGCACATGCATTTTTGCACACTAAATTTACAGTAAAGCGTCGGAACAGAGGACTTCTTGTGCAAGAATTATTTCTCTCCCCACGAGGGATAAGCCCTCTTGCGCAAGAGATCTTGCGCAAGAAGGCAGTGTGGACGGGCAACGGATTTCTTGCGCAAGAAACCCCTATGACTAAAATGGCCGTCAGAGCTTTCTTGTGCAAGATTGCGTCCACACGGCCATGGACATGCTTGCACAAAAGCACATGGCAGTGTGGACGTGCTCTTGCACAAAACAGTTCTTGTGCAAGAAGCCTGCAGTGTAGACGTAGCCTAACAAAATCAGAAAAGAACTTCAGTGGGGCCCAACCTAGTTGGATATTGGTTGATTAACCTTACTTTTCAATAGGATTTTTTTAACATGTAATCTGCTGTAAAATCCTTGTTTATAAATTTATATTTGCCATATTTAAAGGAGTCAAACAAATCCTAAAGAAAAGTAATAGAGATGTAGCCGTGTTAGTCTGATCTTGCTGAAACAAAAGAAAGGATTATGCAACACTTTAAAGACTAACAAGATGGTTTATTAGGTAATGAGCTTTCGTGGGCCAGACAGACCCACTTCCTCAGGCCCACTTCGTCTGGCCCACGAAAGCTCATCACCTAATAAACCATCTTGTTAGATCCTAAAGAGGCATCTATCATTACAGAAGTATGTAAACATGCTGGTGCAAAGACCATGTTGAAACTCTGCATTTCAATTTACACCATAATTCCTTCACCATGTGAAGAACCTAATAATGATCTATACACACAGTGCATCTTTAATCTATGCATTTCAAACTGGGTGTGTATTTTGACTAATTTTAGAGAGGGGAAACATGAGATGGAAAGAAGTTAATGTTCTGCCTTTCAAAGGTGATGAACACATACAGCTCCCATTGGCTGCATTGGGAAGTGAGATGCTCAACACAGCAGAAATCAAGCCCTTACCCCTGGTCTACACTAGGGGATTAGTGCGAATTAAAAAGCTATGCAATTAATTTAAATGAAGTTGTGTAGCTTAATTTGAATTAAGATATTTCAACTTTTGGTGCCATCCACACTGCGGGAAGTCAAAGGGAGCACACTCTCCCTTCAACTTCACTTACTACTTATAGAAGTAGGACTACCAGCAGTGATGGGATCACCCTCAGTTCCTACAAGCATCAACAATTTTAGTGCAGAACTAATGTATACCAGGGTGACTTATAGCGGGGATGCCCTGTAGTGTGTCTTCACTAGACCTGCTAATTTAAACTCCAGAAGATCAACTGCTGCTGCTTCAGTCTTATCAGTAGTGTAGACATGGCCTTAGTGATTTGCCTAAGGCCACACCATCTCTCCTTAATGTATAACAGAATGGAGCCTTTTCTCTCTCCCTACTCCTAGTCCCCTGCTTTAACTATCTTGCTGGACTTCCACATCTGTTGTACACTTGGTCACTGTTTTAAGTGTTTTTATTTTCGTATTATATGAAGTTACAATGCCAAGGAGTTCAGCCTAATAATAAAGTGGGAGATATCTTAAGAAGTATATCATATAAAAAATTGGGGTCTCTTTTAAAGGTTACCACTGTTTAGTTAAAACACCCATATAGCCATAAAAGATAATTTACTATTCACACATCCAGCACTGCATAATAAAAATTATAGTAGGTATTAGATCCAGCTAAAAGTTATCAGATTTAGCATTAGTTGCCCAGTCAGTTAATGAATCACCAGTTCAGACTTGGTCATTACATTAACATGTACTAGAGATGTAAGCAACTAATCGACTATCCGATAAGCAAATGCTTATCAGATAGTTGAGTAGTAACTTGACTAGTCACTCCTCCATCCCCTTGTTAGTCTATCAGAGAGAGGCAGCAAGGGGGGGGGAGCGGGAGAGGAGGAGAACCAGTAAAACTGGTTCCCCCCCAGCACTGTCTCTGCAGGAGGCAGAGGCACAGCAGGAAACGGTGCCAGCTGGGACTGCTTCAGCCTGCTCCCAGGGGTTCCCACTGCAGGTGCTTCTGCTTTTGAAATGTACAAGACCCCATTCAAAAGCAGAAGTGCTGCAGGAAGCACAGGGCAAGCAAGGACTCAAGCAGTCCCCGCTCGCATTGTGCTTTCTGCAGTGTCCCCCCCCCCCTTGAGAGGAAGCAAGGGGGAGGACAGGAGCCTGTGCTGGGCGGGGGAAGGAGGCCAACTTAAAAACCTGTTCCTCCCAGCACCATCTCTGGGGTGCTTCCTGCCTCAAGCAGAGGCAGCAGGAGGATAAGGGACACTGCTGCGAAGGGGCTGTTGCGGCCAACCAGTCCAGCAGCTCTTACTATATTTAAAATGCAGAGGTGCAGCACGGTGGCTCCAGAGCTGGCACAAGCCAGAACTGCTCAGTCTCAGCTCGAGTCGGCTCCTGGAGCTACCACTGCTATGGCTCTGCAGAGCAGTCCTATCGACTAATCCTATAATCAATACCAATTGTATTGACTACACGATTTGCCGGAGAATCACCTTTTAACATCCTTACCCTGTGCTGGGGAGTTGTTTTTCTCTTGCATCAAAAGAGTTGGAAATGAAAACAACCATTTGCAACTGTTGCTGCTGCCCACCCCCACCCCCCTTGCCTGCCACCGTGGTTTGGTAGCGAAGCTATGTATGAAAGCTATTAATCGAGTGTCAGAGCCCGCTGTGCTTCTCGGGCATTGCAAACATCTCCATGGCGACACACGACTGCTCTACCGCGACAACTGGCGTTTGCTGCATAGTCTCTGGCTGGGGGAAGGGAGTGCTCCAAGGGGCCCTTCTGTACCAGGGGCGGGGAGCCCGAAGCAAGCCTCACAGCAGTTGGGTGCAGGGCCAAAGGGGGGGGGGGTCTGTCTAAATGGAGGGTGCCCAGCCAGCGGGGTCCCTGTGAGCGCTGCCCTAGCACTGACTGGCTGCTCCCGGCCCAGCGCAGAGCAGGCGCGATTGGCGCGTGGCCGACCTGCAGGTGTGCGACTTGCCGGCCGCACAACCCCCCCGGCTGATCCCTCCTCAGCCAATGAGGAGCCAGGACGCGGGCCCGTTGCCATGGTCTCCAGACTGCAGCACTTCCCAGGCTGTGCACCAACGAAAGTGCCTGCGGGAGAACCTGGGTCGGGTCCCTGGTGCCTGCTCCGGGGCAGCCTCGTGGGAACGGCGCTTTCCCTCCCTCCGGCTCACCTGGCGGCGCGGAGCAGCCAGGTAGGACACGCCTAGGAGCAGCCCTTGTGGGTTTGACTCTGCTGAGATTGCTGGGTCCGATGGCTACAGCGGAGGGGACTTTAGCAGCTGCCTGTCGCTCTAGTCCGGATATTAATGCCTGCTCTCCACCCAAGCATTTAAAAACAATCAGCGGCTCGCCTTTAGGTTGTCAGCTTGGCATTAGCAACACCAAACTGGCTGGCTGGTCTAGTTCTTGATGTGGCTGCTTCATCGTTTATAAAAGGAAGCGACTTTCAGTTTGCTGATGGCTGAAGGAAAACTGCATACATATTAAATAACAACAAGGAGGGTGTTGCCACAGATTTGGTCTAAAGCAAGTAGCATGATAACCTGAGGCTCTTCCAGAGTTGTGTTGTCATGCATTATACAGTGTGAAAAGTAATACACACAAATCACAACTAGGGAGATCGCAGGATTCAGGAGGCCAAAACCACAGAATAATACTAGAACAGCCCTTTTCTAACTATATACTGACTCCTCCCTCATCTCTCTCTCCTGATGAAATAGTTATAATGCCTAGTGATAGAAATGTAGCCGTGTAGATTTCACATTGCATTTTTTATCAATAGGTCTCAAAGTGCTTGACAAAGGACGTAAATATCATTAACCACCATTTACAGATGGGTAAACAGCAGCTCCAAGTCACATACCAGGCCAGTTGGAGAGCCAGGGAAATAACCCAGATCCTCTGATTCCTAGTCCAGGACTCTATCCAATGGGCTATACTGTCCTCCTGTTTAAAGCTCAGCCTGGTAGGCTCACTCATGTAAAACTCCTACTGAAATTCTGTTGATTGGAGTTGTGCTTGAGTATTTACTACACGATCAGGCCCTTTACTTTGCATCCTACATTTATATTGTTTTGAAAAAAGTTTTTATAAACCACTGAAAATAGAACTGTTTTCATTAGATGAAAAACTATCAGTTATAAAGAGAAGATGCTGTGTTGAAACTGCAGACAAAAACTTTATGCTAAGTCATGAGAAATAGCAAGTTAAATTGAATGATCTAATTTTCCCTTCTCGGACAAATAAAGGCAAGAAAGCAAACCAAACAGCCAAAATGGTGAAATGTTTTAATAATCTACATTATTAGTAACACAGAAGGGGATTTTTAGTATCAGTTGTATCCTGACAGCCATCCTAATAATCAAAAGAATTTGACAGATTATGCTAAATCTACGTCGTTCACAGAAAATAATTTTTGGCCACTTTGTTTTCAAGATTGCCAGAGACATATAATTACTGTCAAGACTTTCAGCAATTCCATTCATTCTTGTATAAAGGAAAAAGTAGTTTTATCTGAACTCAATGCTAGCATTAGCTTATTTCAGTGGGATTCATTATTTTTATTCACTTACTGCTCTAAAGTGTGGTTTAGGGTACAATCTTGCAGATACTTGTACATAAGTACCCATGACAATAATTCCCATTGAAATCAATGAGAATTCTGACATGAGTAACTTCATTCATGCACTTGCATAAGTATTCACAGGACTGGGCCAGAGAGTTGCCTTCTATGCCTACTATTAAGTGGCATATGAACTGCAGAAGGGTTTGTTATATATAAAATGTGTAATATTAATAAACCCTAGCTTTCCTATACCTGTAGCTCTTTTCCTCTGTAGATCTCAAAGGATTTTGCTGAATATTTTAGTATCGTTATCACCATGTTCAATGATCATCCATCACAAACTAGAAAAATGGTCTGAGGTTTACAGGATGAAGTTTAATAAGGACAAATACAAAGTACTCCACTTAGGAAGGAACAATCAGTTTCACACATACAGAAAGGGAAGTGATTGTCTAGGAAGGAGTACTGTTGAAAGGGATTTAGGGGTCATAGTGGACCACAAGTTAAACATGAGTCAACAGTGTGACACTGTTGCAAAAAAAGCAAACATGATTCTGGGATGCATTAACAGGAGTGTTTTGAGCAAGACATGAGAAGTCATTCTTCTGCTCTACTCTGTGCTGATTAGGCCTCAGTTGGAGTATTGTGTCCAGTGTTGGACACCACATTTCAAGAAAGATGTGGAGAAATTGCAGAAGGTCCAGAGAAGAACAACAAAAATTATTAAATGTCTAGAAAACCTGACCTATGAGGGAAGACTGAAATAATTGGGCTTGTTTAGTTTAGAAAAGAGAAGACACAGGGGACACGATAGCCATTTTCAAGCATCTAAAAGGGTGTTACGAGGAGAGAGAAAATTTGTTCTCCTTGGCCTCTGAGGGTAGGACAAGAAGCAATGGGCTTAAACTGCAGCAAGGGAGGTTTAGGTTGGACATTCGGAAAACTTCCTAACTGTTAGGGTGGATAAACACTGGAATAAATTGCCTCAGGGGGATATTTAAGAGCAGGTTAAATAGATACCTGTCAGAGATGATCTAGTGCTTGGTCCTGCCGTGAGGTCAGGTCACTGGACTTGATGACCTCTTGAGGTCCCTTCCAGTTCTAGGATTCTATGTCAGTGGCAGATTTCAGGTCTCTGAAAGGGGCAATGTAAATTTCAAATTATTAATTTCTTCTATTTTATTATAAGGAGGTCTTAGCACTGTCCATGTAGCTTACTTTTGATTGTATCATGTATTATTTCATCTTAGCTTTGGAAGGTCATACCTGATTTCAGCTCATTGCCATTTCTTCAAGGATCCCACAAATATTCTCAAGCAAAGTTAACTCAGTTGAGTGTGACCCTGAATTCTGCAACAATTCCATCTGTTTTCAGTTAAGGTGACACGATGACTGGGGAAGATTTGCTCAAAGACACTAACAGTGTGAAGCCGGAAATGGTCTTACGACACTGTTTTAAACAATACAAACTCAGAGATTTGTATCCAAAATTTTTCCTTAAAGTTAAACCAAGTATATTTGGGCCACCCAAATCCAGACGTCGCATTATTATTGCGCCTCCTATGGTAAGACCAGCTTTTGCCGGTTCAAAACCCATTCAGATTACACCCATCAAGAAAGATGGAAAGGAGGAAGCTGCTGACCAGCAAATGTCCCCTGGGGCAGAAAGCTGTCCCCACACATTGAAAGAACCTTCAGAGGCAGAAGATGATCTACCAATGCTGGAATCTTGGATAACGGAAAGGAGAAAGCTCCGGTCTCAATTGGATAGCCTTGTAAATGTTGAAAAATGGCTACGTCAAAAGCTTTCCACCACAGAGCAAGAAGATAGAGTCCTGGAAAACATACAGTATTGCAGAGCAGAGAGGAAGGCTAAAATTCAGGCAGCTGTGACCAGAAATCTTGAAGTAAGTACATGCCTCATTCCTCTGTCCTTTCAATTAGTGCACTATAATCCTGGGTGGCAGTGAAAGCCCAGCTGGGGAAGGTAGGCCTCAGCCCTGCCCCTTTCACCCAATGCCTGCCCGGGAGCCAAGCCCCACCTACCATCGGCCTGATCCTTCCTGGCCACCTGGAGGGCCAGGACTGTGGTGCTGCACCCCCAACCCCCACTCTCCATAGCAGCCAGGAAAACCCGCCTACTCTGCCTGGCCCCGAACTCCCTGGGCAGCTGGGGAAGTTGGGCTGCTACGCTGTGGCCCCAGTGGCCGGGGCATATAGGCAATTTTGGGAAGGTTGTGCTTTCTCTTGCCTGTATTACCGACTGCCTCTGGCTATAATTACTGAATTATAAATATAATTACTGAATTATAGTCACACCTCACTTTCACAGTCATTTGACTTGAACAACTACAGCTAAACAAAGGAGATTGGAGGGCAGTCAGGTCAGTTCTTTCTATGGGTGCTGGTATTAGTCATGTAACCATGCAGCTTTTCATCAGTAAAATTACAGGAAGTGGGATAATTATACAACCAACCTAGTCAGATTGTTCCCCTGGAGACTGTTTACTTCTGCTTCAGAAGAGGTAATTCAGCCAGGCTGCATTGGAGTAGTTTCTCTGAAATATTACCTTTTGGGGCAGCAGCTGCACCCTTCCCTGATACTGTACCTTTATGGTGCCATGGCATTGCAGCTTTTGCAGTAACTATAGTGAAAACTCTGTGGTGAAAAACCCTGCAGGCTGGAGCTGCTCAATTCTCCCCAATACAACCTCTGTGGCCATCCAAGGAGGTCAGTGCCGTCTCTAGAACAAACGTCTATCTCAGGACAAATTATTTGGTGGCCTCAAAGTGCAGCCACCCAGGCTTGCTGGTGGTCACTCATATGCTTTTCCCTAAAATACTTAATTATCTTTAGAAAAAACAAATAAATGGGCATCTATATACATCCAAACCATTGTAATGTATGCAATACCAGCTAGCCAAAAGTAAATCCTTTGTGAAAAGTAATATTAATAAACATACAAATATCATTTTTCATAGCAAACTTACTGAGCCCTGGCAAGTCTGGGGATAAATGAAGCCCTGGATTGCAGGGCCAGAAGAGGCAGCAGGGGTGGAGGGGGCATGTCCAGCAGAGGTCAGGAGTCTGAAGCCCTGCAGCTGGAGGATGGAGACTGAAGCCATGGGACTGGATCCTGGTGCTCTGCAGCCAGAGCCTGGGCCCCATGGCCCCAAGAAAGGTGGGGAACTCACCAGCTGCCTGCTCCTCCAGCACTGTACTCCAGGTGTCTCCAGAGGGATGCAGGTCCCATCCCTTTGCCCTAAGGCCACCAGCAACCACCACCAAGGCCCAAGGAGGGGGAGTAGCCACTGCTCTGCGCTGCCCAGGAGGCTGTGGCTGCAAGAAAAGCCCCCAGAGGCTGCACGTGGCCACAGTGATCACATTTGAGAAATGTGGAACTGGCCCTCCAGCCTGGTTCCCCCCATCTCCTCTCAGCACTTCCTGCGCTACAGACCTGAGCCATGTTGGAAGCAGGGATACATGTGGAACAGTACTGAAGAAACAACACTTCCCCTTGTGCGTCTCCACGACAGAGGCCTCCTGGACTCCATTTCCTTCTGCCAATAGAAGCAGGGGTGTTACATGGCCTTAGGTCAGTGCAAGGAAAGATTGAGTACAAAATAAGATCATCTTGAGAAATATGGAAATTACAAGGGCCAGGCCCTTCACAGTTTTAAATTGACATAACTCCATTAAAATCAATGCAGAAATACCCATTTGTACCTGCTGATATTATGTCACTCTACATTCTTCACACTTCTGTGGCCTGAGCCAGGAAACCTGCCTGAATTTCTCATTATGTGGAAATGTGTCTCATGATTATTTTTAAATCTCTTTCAGAATCTGTCAGCAAAGCATGACCAGCCTCATCAAAAAAGAATCATCCCGCTAATCAAAGCTCCCTACCCCCAGTCCCTCATTACACTGCACAACCTTCTGCACAAACAAAAGCTCAAGATGGTGGACTTATTCAAGAAGGCAGATAAGGACAAGAAGCGGTTCGTGAGATCAGAGTTCATTAAAGTTATCAAAGGGGTATGCAAAAACCGGGTTAAGAAATTCCACCTTAATTCTGTTGGTATAACTATAACGTAGTTATATAGCCATGATAGGGGCTGAATTTGATCTTATAACAGGTCTTCCCTTAACCTTGGCTACATTGATTTTAGACATCATCTATGGGGAATTCATCTGCAGAGATTTTACTCCACAACCCATAACAATTCTGCAAGGAGAAAGGAAAGATAATTTAGTTGCATATTTGGATTACCCAAGAAATAGAGTGATTCCCAGCTGGGGACAAAACCCCACCCACATAGTCCAAAAGAAACTCACAGCTCACTCACAGGCCAATTCAGATTCTGCCCAGTGTGCAGAAATGCTGTTGGTTTCCATTACAGTAATAATAGAGCTTTCTTCAGTCTGAGGGAGCTCCAGATGCTTTACAGACCACAAACTAAGCTGTGAGATAGGGCTGTGCAGATGGAGAAGCAATGTGATCCAGTGAGGAGGGCACTGGACTGGACTCTAGACTCCTAACTTCTATTCCTGGATGTCTTACAGACCTGCTATGTGATTTGAGTATGTCACATCACCTCTCTGTACCTCTATTTCTCCTACCACCCTTTGCCTATTACAATATATGTGTATAGTGCCTACCACAATAGAGCCCTCATCTCAGCTGGTGCCATTAGATATTACTCTAATATGTGTAGTAACTATACACATTTGCAGATGGAGAAACTGAAGGCCAAAGATGAAAACTGATTCGCCCAAGGCCACCTGGCCTCTGAGTAACAAAACTGGGACTAGAACCTATAGATCTTAATTCCCAGAGGTACAGGGCATCCCCGCTATACATCCAAAATATGTTTAAAAAAAAGTGGATGTATAGTAAAAGGATGTAAAGCAGGATTTTTTTTCATGCAGCTGATTTCCGTTTGCGTGAATTGGTCTTTTCTTTTTCTTTTCTTTTCTTTTCTTTTCTTTTCTTTTCTCTTTTTTTTTTGTGCAACAGAAGAATGAGGAATGGGAGGACTTAAAATGGAAGAGTTACCACAAAATGTCAACGACGCTAGTGCAGAACCAACGTATATCGGGGCGTCTTATAATGGGGATGTCCTATAGTGGATTTAATCTGCAGCAAGGGTGATTTAGGTTAGATATTTTTTTTAAAAAAGTCTAACTAAGGACAGTTCATGTTTGGGGACAGTTAATGCAACCAAGGGAGGTTGCAGAATTCCATTGCTGGAAAGTCAGAGATATTCTAGGCTTATGTGGTTCTGCCACAGCACAGGGCACTGGACTCAATGACTTTTCAAGATCCCTTCCAGCTCTACATTTAAGATTCTGTGAGTTATCAGACACAAGGCTACACCACCTTTCAATAATCTGGTTGCAGTGCACATGGTGCGAATGCAGAATTGTTCCCTAGGGCTTTGTGGCATCCTTTAGTTTTACTGTGATCATCACATTAAGGATGTTAAGGACTAGTCGACTATCAGATAAGCAAAAGTTTATCGGATAGTCAGTCAACTAGTTGATTCCCACCCACCACCCCGCTGCCTCTATCAGATAGTAGCAGCAAAGGGGAGGAAGGGAAAGGGAGTGCTTCAGAGGGGCAGTGCTGCACAGCTGAGCCCGGGCTCAGCTGTGCGGGGCTGCCCCCTTTGAAACACCGAGGTGGTATTCAAAGGGCAGAGCTGCACAGCTGATCTCCAGCAGCTCAGCTATATGGCGCTGCTCTTTGAACTCCACCTCACCATTTCAAAGGGGCGCTGTGGAGCCCAGTGTCAGCTGAGGACTCCCCAGCTGACCCCGAGTTCTGGGGAAATGTCGCGCGGAACCCGGAGTCAGCTGCATTTCAAATCAGCAGCACAGCATGAAACCTAGGGCTAGCAGGGGCCCTGAGTCCCCCGCTGACCTCGGGCTCCATGCTGCATTGAAGCTTTGAAATGCACAAGAGCCTCTGCTAGGGACTCTTGTACATTTCAAAGCCGGCATCTGCGTACAGCCCAGGGTCAGCGGGACTTCCCGCTGGCCCCAGGTTGCACGTGGAGTTCCGCATTCCTCCTTTGAAATGTACAAGAGCCCCTAGTGGGGCTCTTGTATGTTTCAAAGGAGGAATGCGGAAGTGCCTATCAACTAGTCAAGTAGTCGATGGAAATTCCATCGATTATTCAACTAGTCAATTAACTGATATTTAACATCCTTATATCACATATGCATTTTTTTTTAACAGGCCAATGTCCCTATCAGTGACAATGACCTGGAAGATGTGATCATCTACCTTACTACTTCTAAACGTGAAAATTTTATAACCAGTGATGATTTAGCTGATTGTCAAAATATGTGGCTGGATTCAATGAGAGACCAGATGAAACAACCCAGGGAGGCAAAAAGAGGTAAGAAAAATAAACTCACAATAGGAAGATGATTCTGCATTCTTAGGAGCATGGGAGTTGCCATACTGGGTCCAGTTCCAGATCTATTTAGTACAACATCTTGTCTCAGATAGTGGGCAGCACCAGATGCTTCAGACGAAGGTATAAGATCATTGTAGTGGCAGATGTGGGATAATTTTCTGCCCTATATTAGATCTCATCCTGGTCACTAAAAGAGATTTGCTTGAACCTCAAGTGCAATATCCCTGCCAGAATTTTGCTGGCATTCTTGGCCCCTACCAGCCCAATAACTGAAAACTAGAACCTTTTACAAATGCCCTTCCACTCAAATTCTGGTAGTTTGAATAGACTGGAACCAAGATTCAAGCCACCCCTGGTTTTACAAAACCAAAATCTCAACCTTCTCAGCTCATCTCTAGGTGAAAGCTTGTCTAGGTTCATGTGTTACTTTATGTTGCAGTCTCACCAGTCAAGAGGAGAAATGCCTGGAAGTGCTGAGAAATTCTTAGCACTATACAGCTACAAAATAGCCTGAAAACTTATTCCTCGCAACAACAGTTAACTGATGTTTCTAAAGTGCTTTGAGAACCTCAGAGGAAAGACAGTAGAGAATGCCACATAAATATTAAAGTATTAGGATTAAAGAAGAAATCCCACTGGGGAAAAGAATCATTATTTGTATTGAATAGCTACGTAAATGGAGGCACAGAGCAGTTAAGAGACTTGCCGAAGACTTGATGATGAATCAGTGTCAGAGGTGGGAACAAAATTCAGGGTGCCTCGCACCACGTCCTGTGCTTAGATGTTTTCCACAAAGACTTCCTCTTTGGAGGCTTACAATTTAGTTCTCTCTCAGTGCAGGCCTACCACTATCATTGCTGCAAAAAGAAAGGTCTGATTCTGAAGAAATGTTGTGGAAGGCAGCATGTGTCAAGCACTTGGAAGTTAAACCTCCGTTCAAGAAAAT